AAAAAAAAAAAAATTCAAATAACAACTGTGCAAATTTATTTCTCCAACTAGCATCATTTACTGTTCAGGTTTCGGAACGGGCCGTTCTGAAATCAGAACGGGCCGTTCCGGATTAAAAAATAACACATGGAAAACAAATCAGAACGGACCGTTCTAAAATCAAAATTAGCACATAAAAAGTGGAACCAACGGCCCGTTCTGCTTTCAGAACGGGCCGTTCTGACCTACAAATAATTTTTTTTATTTTCATTTATCAAATACCAAAACTCAGAAACTAATATCAAATAATTAAATTTATTGAATATTAACATTATAAACATATCTAAATAACTTTATTAAAATTGAACACAACAATAAAGATCAATGGTGGCAGAAATTGATTATGTTGTTTTCTAATGTCCATCTCTGTTTTAATCTTGCTAGACTTTGGCCGACCCTTGAAAGTTCGCTTGAGTTTTGGATTTGGCCACAAAGTTGGAACAGTGTAAGTAGGCCAATAATCTTCATGTCGGAGCTTTCCACTTTTTATGTGCTAATTTTGATTTTGGAACGGTCCGTTCTGATTTATTTTTCATGTGTTATTTTTTAATCCAGAACGGTCCGTTCTGATTTCAGAACGGTCCGTTCCGAAACGTGAACAGTAAATGGTGCTAGTTGGAGAAATAAATTTGCACAGTTTCTATTTGGATAATTTTTTTTAAAATAGTATTATTTGAGTAAAAAACTCTTATAATAACACCGGTGTAACTTTTACTAAGTGTTACATCGCTCAATAACTTTATATTAAATGTGAATTTTATAAATTTAACCGTTGGATTGAAAGTTCATATAATCCAACGGTTGAATTTACAAAATTCACATTTAATATAAAATTATTAAGCAATGTAACACTTAATAAAAATTACACCGATATTATTATAACCCTTATATATATATATATATGAGGAGAGTTCAAACGACACCGGTGTAACTTTTACTAAGTGTTACACCGCTCAATAACTTTATATTAAATGTGAATTTTGTAAATTCAACCGTTGGATTATATGAACTTTCAATCCAACGGTTAAATTTATAAAATTCACATTTAATATAAAATTATTAAGCAATGTAACACTTAATAAAAATTACACCGATATTATTATAACCCTTATATATATATATATATGAGGAGAGTTCAAACGACACCGGTGTAACTTTTACTAAGTGTTACACCGCTCAATAACTTTATATTAAATGTGAATTTTATAAATTTAACCGTTGGATTGAAAGTTCATATAATCCAACGGTTGAATTTACAAAATTCACAATTAATATAAAGTTATTGAGCGGTGTAACACTTAGTAAAAGTTACACCGATGTCATATATATATATATATATATATATATATATTATCAAAAGGATTGCAGTCGGCGAGTTTCCATTCCGGCTAGTGAGCCTTAACTAAGTTAAAGTAAACGTTAAAATAATTTTTTTGTTCTTTATATTTATATTATTTAAATTTGTCCCTTTATTTTTAAAATATTATCATATGAGACTATCATCATGCCATAATCAAATATTTTACAAATACTAAAGTGTATACTCGATAATCTTATGTCATTGAGCATGATGAAATTTACATGCATACATGGAAATATATATTTATATGAAAAGGAATCCACATATAATTATACATACGAGAAGAGATATATTTAATTCATGAATAAAATTTAATAAACTTACTTTATTTAATATTTTATATTTTATATTAAATTTTAATGACTCAACCATTAAATTATTAATATATAGATCAAATTCATAAACTTTTAAATTTTTTTAAAATCATTTGATTCTTTATTAAATAAATTCAAATTGACATAGACAAAGAAATGATAAGAAAACAATAACCACATAGGTAACGTGATGAAAAAGAAAATAAAAAATAGAATGAAAGTGAGATAGATGAAAAAGTAAATGTATTATGAAAATTTTCTCTAATCTAAATAAAAATAAATCTCATTACGCAAAAGTCTGAAAAGTCTGAATCGAGATTTTAGATTGATAAAAAATAGGATAAACAATGAAACACTTTGGAATGTTTAATTAAGAATCATTATGAAATTAAGATTTTGAATAAAAGATTATTTGCTAACCTTAAATTAATTTCTTTAAAAATAGCTTTATCATATGTTAAATGAATTGGATAATATATTTAAAATAAAAATATAATACTCATTTCATAGCTATGGTCACTTATAGTTATTTGACATATATATATATATATATATATATATATATATAATATTCTCATATCATAGAAGAAGGGGTAATTTACTAAAAGTAAAGTGATTGCCAATTGCATTTTATTTTTTACATGTTTTTTAATTTCAAACATGCTCATGTCCATAATTGAAATAAAATTTACATTTTATATTTCACCCTCTAGGCGTCAAATGAATAGAAGAAAGTGAGTAAAAAATCAAAATCATAAACAAATGCGTAAACATATCAACTTGATGTATATTAAACACCGAAGCTATATATTGAATTGCAAGTTTTATTTGATCCAATCACTTAATAAAGTTTTTTTGGGTGTATTTTTCATAAGTATCGCATAGAAAGTTTTAAGTGGAATACTATAATTATTCTTGAGTTCAATAAACCAGCTTGCGTGTTTAAATCAAATTGTGGTTTTATGAACAGTCAGGAAAAAGAATAATTTTATGGCACTAGTGTCAAGATTTTCTCAGACACTAAACATTGATTCAGTAATAAAAGAAGTTTGGGATAGATAGCTTAATCGTACTCACAAGGACTAGAAGAGAAGAAGAGTGATGACACAAGCATATATATATATATATATATATATTTGAGAATGGCCAATGTCCAACAGGATATGTTCCTATTTTGAGAACAAAAGATGAACTCATAAATAAGAATCATCCTACTCTAACATGCATCATTTAAAGTTAATAGGGTGGGGAGTGATAAATGCATCATTTAAAACTTACATGCCATCCTACTTTGATCATATATTTCCTCCTATTTTTTACTATCACTATATTTGGAATATGTAATTTCTTCTTCGTCATGTGTTTGCTAATTTTCGCAATGTTATTCATTTTTATACAAAATTTTCATAAATAAAGTTGGACATTTTTTTCCTTCTCATCAAAAAATTTAAAAGCAAATTTTAGTTACAAAATAACATTTTGATATAATATTCACACACTCATCAAATTTAAATAACACTTAATCTCCTCATCTATATATTCTAAAATTATTTGCTTATTACAACCATCATTTAAACAATACAAGAAGGCCCAATTTCGTATAGATCAATAAAAAAATGAAAATATAAAATTGAAAGGATCATAATAGTAATAATAATAAATAAATAAATAAATCAATCAACAACAAAAGTTCATTTGTCAATAAATGTTTTATCCAATTAAGGATATGTTTGGCCAATTATTTTTATATTATTATAATTTAATTTTAAGTTAAAACTAAAAATAAAAGCTTAAAAAAACTATTGATCAAATTAAAAAAAAAACAAATTAAAAAAATAGAACAAGCTTAAAAGTTCTTTTTAAATTAAAATTTATTTTGCAAACTTTTTAAAAAATTTAGTTTTATTTAAAACTTCTTTTATCCCATAAAAGAGTTATATATATATATATATATATAATGAGGTTTGGCCCTATTGGCATTATGAATGGTATAGGTGAATGAGGATGTGTGCTGTGCAGTGCAGGAAGGCAAAAGAAAAAGCGAAGCTTAGGGAGGAAGCCACTCACTCACCTTAGGAATTGCTTAGAATAGAATAAAAGCAAGATGCTTACACCAACATACACGCACCGAGTGAGTGAGAGCTATAACTTTCACGTCAATCTTTCTCAGTGTCACATAACAATGACTATGAAGACACACCACACCCCTCACCCAACTCTGATAGTACCCTCTCAACCATTAAAGGAACATACATACCATTTCATTTCTCCTCTCTTGTACGTGAAAAACATTATTCCAATTTCCAACCTCAATCTTGCCACCAAATGGCCAAGAGATCAGATTTTGCACAAAAGCTACTGGATGATCTCCGCCTAAGGAAAGAACGAATGGCTTCAACTCAGAGGTCAAACCAGTCCCACCATTTGCCTATAGGTAAAACATCTCCTGAAACTTGTTTGTTAATTTATTGCATCGACGCTCAAAAATCCTTCGCCATTCTATTTGGATTTTCTTCTTTTTCTCCCTCTTTCTTTGCTACCATGATACGTAACAAATGAGTCTTGCGCCAAAAAATAGAGGAGCAATTGATAGAGCAGATTTTGAAAAGCATCACTAGTATGGAATATGATATATTCAAGATGATTTCCCCCCGCCCCTTATTTGTTCTGTACTATACTACTGAGTGTGTCACGTCAGATCTGTGGGTCAATGTTGTCTTTAAGTACATTTTTTATGTTACCGCTAATTTGACGAATATTTAATGGTACAGGGCAAGAGATTGCTTTTGTTGCCTGAGCAAAATATTTCGAATTCCTTGTTGAAAGATATCTTTATAATCAAACATCCAACCACTTTCCCCACTTACCCAATAATACTTCAAATAGACCATTGACGAGTTTCTGTTGGTTTCTTTTCCAATCACATGTTGGTTTAAATTGTAAAATATTTTCCGGGAAAGGAGTTTGTCCTTTTGTCAATCTAATTTCATCGGTGAGGCAGCAATTTACTTGTTATTATGCACTCTTATTATCATGTGAAATCTCATGTTGACCCAACTAATAGGAACTGAACACAAGTTATTTAGTTACATATACATGATAATTTACTGATTAATAATGTATTAAAGAGTTTAGATAATATATGTACTGTTAGCATTCTTCTTTACAAAGTTCATTGTGTACGCTTCCACTACATAATTAAAGTATTGAATAGACTAGAAGTGCTTCAGCTTCCGTTTTCTAGTTGAGCATTCCATTTACCCTAAATTTGGGATCTCGGAAGTACATACTCAATTAACAGGGTCCTTGCGTCGTGGGAGTGTAGCAAAATTACTCAACTTTTCGCCCCAAAATATGGCAGGTTTTTTTTTTTTTTTTTTTTTTTAATAAAGAAAAGCGGGGTTTTTACATGCTTATGATGATATACTTGTATTTTTCAATAACGATACATTCTAGATCGGTGGTGTGAAAGAGAAAATGCACTACAATATCCTCAAAAGTAGAACAGGCTTCTCAGTTTCCGCCGTTCAACTACCCACTTTATAGTTGAAATCACAGTGACAGTTACATAAATATTGTGTGGAATTTAGATTTAGATTTGAGAAATTTGTGGCATGACAATAGATGTTGATGACAGTAACTTCTCATGGTAGCTGTCAAACTGAAATTTTCTCCTTTGAAAAAGTTTATGTGATCTAATTTTGCTAAACATGTTCAAACAGATGCATATGCTTACACCAAGCAAACATACAGAGGATCCAGAAATTCAAAAGCTAACGAAATTGTAAGCTATCATTTTGTATTCTATATCTGATTCTCCTTGTATAAATTAAAGCAGACAGCAAACGTTTTTGTTGGCTAAATTGTTTGATGTCGTGCAGGTTAGTTCCAGAACTGGGGATATGCTGAATAGTTCTAGCAGAAGCCACAGATCAGTAAGCAATGGACAAGTTTCAAATCAGATGGTTCCATTTGGCAAAGGTCAGAGCTCAGGGCAAACGAGTGATGTGTCCCTTGCCCTGGCTTTTGCCTTTGAGAATGGAGGGAAACTAAGAAGCAATGATTCAATTATGGGTTTCCTTCACCAAATTAAAAGGGGAACATTGGAATTCAGCGTATCAGAAAGACAATTAGCTTCAACTAGCAACTATCCAATGCAAATTAACGAGATATCCAAAGGTGCACAGAAACTAAACCAGATATTGAGAGCCTGCTCCAACGGTCTTAACATGGACACGTATTCAGTACAATTTGCAAAGGAACTATTACAAGGAGCTATTGATTTGGAAGAGTCCCTCAGGATGCTAGTAGACCAGCAAAATAATACACAGTTTATGATTGCCCCGCAGAAGAAAAATCGAATCACACTATTAGAGGAAGATGATGACGATGACAATGACACAAGGACGGAAATGCAACTGGCACGACCAACTTTCTCTTTTGACAAGCACACTACTCAGAACATCCAACAACTTGGAAAGGCTATTTTCATGCAGAGGCCAATTAATCTTACCAGCTCTAACGAAGGCAGAAACTCAAATGATGAAAACAAAAATGTGAAGAGACAGGTTTCTCAGAAGCGATCAAATAAAACTAGCTCTACCTCTGAAGGGAAAAACCAGGCGGCCTCCAACCCAGAGAAGGGCAGGATTCCAAATGTAATAGCCAAATTAATGGGGCTGGAGATCCTTCCTGAGAAAGTGGAAATGGAATCGAAACACATGAGCCTACAGAAAAGGGAAGGAATATCATCCAAGCATACTGCAAAAGGAGGCACTAAGAAGACTGAACTGAAGAGCAAAGAAGCTGATAATTTGTTGCTTATGAAAAACCAAAAAGTGATAGGAGCCTTCAAGATGCCTGCAACTCAGGGTGAAGATATGATATTTGGAGCAAATAAAAATTTTCTTGTCAAAAAGACCAGCTCTGGGGTGGCTGCTCAGAATGATGGAATAAAAGCACTGAAAGGATTTGACAAGCCTACTAAAAGTTCCCCTCAGAAGAACCTTAATAGAGAAAGTGAAAAGGATGTTCAGGAGATAGGAAGAAAACAGGATCACCCAACTAACAATAACAAGGAACAGAAAGGCACCGTAAAGGGCAGAACCAACGTTCCAATTCTTAACAATATGCTGCCCCAGCTAGAACAGGTGCATGAAAGATCAGAAGTCAAGTCCTCGATTCAGGAAGGCAAGGAAATCAATGAAAATATTGTTCAGCCCGAAAAAAGACAAACAAACAAGCACATCGTGAACAATGAAAAGAAATCTCGAAACAATGTTGGAGTACATAAGTCATACGTACTCTCCAAAAATGTGCCTCAGGAAGAAAAGCATAGCAGAGAACAACTTCAGCTGAGGGAAGAACAAATGTTGATGATGAGACTACAAGGAGGGAGTGAAATGACATTCAAGAGTTCACCAAAATCCCCTCATCAATTGATCAATCCTCAAAAGAAGCAGCTATCCATGAACCAGACCACACTGTTTAAGAAAAACTCTGGAGAAAAAAATGTTGCTGCTATGAAATCGGAAGGCTTTTTAACTAATCACTATGATCTAGTCAGAGATGAAGCGTCCAATGACACAAATGAGAAAGTCAAAGAAATTATCAATAGGAAGTCAGGCCAAATTTTCTCTCCAAGAGATCAAGAATTTGAACGAGCTAAGCGAAATGTCATCAAAACTTTGATGGATGAAAAACACTTCTATAAACTGGCCAGCAAGAAAACAAAGAATACCAGAAAGAAAAAAGTTGACATGCCTGGAAAGATTGATCACATGTTGACCGGAAGAAATGGAGCCAAGTTCATTACTAAACAAGGAAAACAACAGATCCCCCCTTCTGACAAATTCGAAGTTTTGAATGAATTAGAAAAAGAAAGGGTTGGCATGTTAAGAGAAAGAGATGCACACATCATTAGCTCCAATGAACCAGTATCAGTGGCCGTGACCGAACCATTGGATGTGAGGCGCCAACCCCATAAAGAAGCTGAACTGCCTCCTGCATTATACAGCTCTGTTGGTGGAGAACTTCAAAGCCAACAAGAATTTGTAGCTACAGTTCCCAATGATTTGGTAAGCTCTTTTTTACCCTGATCTAAATCTGTCACATGTTAAGAACAATGTATTAATTAAATGGTGACAAGATTTCTTCCCAAAATAAAGTCCATTGACAAGTAGCTAACATAATTCTTGTTGAATGAATTTATAGCATGTCCAAGATGCGCAATCGGCAGCAATCAACTTGCAAGATCAAGCAGTTACTTTGGCTGCAGATAAAAGATTAATGACTGGTGAAGTGGCATTACATAAAAAAAATGGTGAGTACTTGTAAATATAATTTTAGATTCAAGTTTTATTTCCAGAAAAGAAAGTAGCATCTCATTGAGCAAGATCCTGTTACCAGTCGCCCTTCATTTCTTCGCCCTTCATATAGTTATAATCTTTCCCGCAAAATCCACCACAACCTTTCTTCTGGTTCAGCATAGTAGAAGCATTGCTCAAAAACCAAACAACAGCCACTAACAGATCTTCTGGTTCATCTTTGGCAAAAGTTTGCAAAATAATAAGACAAAATACATAGATGAAATGAATCAATTTGAGATGTTACTTAAACTTGTTTAATATTACAGGAATTCAGGAAGGCAGACTGTGTGTCAACCACTCAAGCCTACAAGATCAGAATATTTCTGAAATAAGCATCCAACAGCCACTAACCGAAAGTGAAAACTTCCTCAAGTGGATTCTGGTCATGAATCAACTATTCGTCAACACTGCAGAAGCACTTTTCAAACTCAACATCCCATTTAATTTTCTTCAAGGAGGTGGTCGGGAGAATCAAGACGAAGGTAGCAAACTCATATTAGACTGTGGATATGAAGTGATGAAAAGAAAGGGGATACGGCAAGAACTTAAAGTTCATAGTCGTTCGAAGATATCAATGGGTACCAAGAACATAATATCCTTAGATGACTTAGTTAGGCAGCTGAATAAAGACCTTGAGAAGCTTAAATTCTACGGAAGGAAAAAATGTGGCCAAGTTGATACTGAGGACTACCTGCATAAAATGCTTGAACATGATGTTTATGATAAATATCCAGACATAGACTGCATGTGGGATTTGGGTTGGAATGATGAGACATTTGCATTTATTGAGAAATATGATGTTATAAGGGATACAGAAAAGCATATACTTAGTGTTCTTCTGGATGAGATCACCGTAGAATTTTTCATGTTCAACCAGGATTGATTATGACAATCATACACTGAACTATAGAAAGAGAGCTGCTCTAAGGAAGGGGGACATGGGGCCAAGTTTTTCACGTGTAATTTTTTTAATGCAATTTTGTGCTTTGTAATTTATAAGGATGAGAATTTTTTTTTGTTAATAAGAATAACGATTTGATTAATGCAAGTTTTCATTTAATGATTTCTAGCTTTAGAAATTCGTTCTTTTTTTTTTTTTTTTTTTTTTGTATCGATGTAGTGTGGTTCACAAAATCAAAAGTTGTCTTACTTGGTTTCTCCTTTTCATTCATTCCTTATCTCTGGTTTGCCCCCCAAAAAACATCGCACCAGAAGCTACAAAATGATAGTATTGTTTGTCTTTTATTAACTACACATTCAGTAGGTGTAAAAGAATTATAAACCATAATGAATGGCTTACTATTTTTTTTTTTTGAAGTGATTTGTATTAATAGTCATTATATGACTAAACTCGGGAAGGCTCACTAGCATGTTTTGAAGTGGATTTCCATACACATGAGGGGTTCAATTGATGTAGATCTAGTCCTTCATCAAAGAACAAATGATATTATCAGTCATGTCATTAGATTTTGAGACTCATTATGCTAGTGATCTTAATACCAGAAGATCCTTTTACAAGTTATATTTTCATGCTTAGAAGTAGTGTTATCAGTTAGCATGCAACCTTACAGAATATTGTTGCCTTGTCAACAACATAAACAAAAGTATATGACAACTATAGAAGTAATACAAGAAGCTTTGTAGCTTAAAGGCCTAATTGATGGTCTTGGTGTAGGTAAAAAATATATTATTGTATTTTGAGATAATCAAAATATAATTCACATAAGCAAGATCTAAATGTACAATAAAAAGACAAAATACATGTTAGAATGCTTTTCGTTTGTAATATTTTTTCACAAAGAAATGTATTGGTAGAGATTCTCATCACTTTTAATAATTGCCGGGATGATTAAAACTCTTCTATGAGTGGAGTTCAAACATTATTTAAATTTAAAGTACGGTAACAAATACCTATCGAGATAAAAATAAGCAGCGTAAAACTATTAAAGATAAATGTTGAATGGTTTAAAGAATTCAATGATGAATTGATTTTTAAATTTTGATAAATAAAATTAATATTTTAGTTAATATTAATTATTAATAATAAGAGTTGGGATAAAATTATCATCTATCATTATTTAGCTTGTTTTTTAGTATAAGTAAATGCAAAAAAAAAAAAAAAAAATCATTTAAGTAAACATATGTTTTTTTTTTCTTTTCAAGAGACTATTTTTTTAGTATAAATAGAGATAAATATTCTTCTTTATGATTTTTTTGGGATTATTCTTTGTATCATTTATATTTTGTATAATAAAATTTTCAATGTCAAAACATTTTCTACAACTGATGGCTTGGTTAATCATTCCTGAACTCATGAGATTCTTTACTGATTACTAATTAGTAGATTGGAAGTTTTAATTTTAGTTTTATTTTAAGGAGAAATTGGAAGTTGATTAGGTTATACAAAGAATTATCTTAAAGATGATGGTTGTGAGGAATTGAATGAATGAATGCTAATTGCTAGAATTACAGGTACAGCTGCTCTGAAATCCAATCGGAAGGACATGGCATCAAGCTTGGGCTTTGACTTCCTCACGAAGAAGCCATACAGTCCTCCTTCCTGGGCATCCCATCTCCACCCTTTACCTTCTCACGTCTTCTCTCTTGCACATGTTTGTATTTCTAATTCTAAACTCTCTTTCTTTTCGTTTACATCAATTACTTGTTCCTAATCCTATCCTTTCTCTCAGCTTCCCACTCCAATTCACAGATGGAACCTTCCCAATCTGCCCCCCAACACGGAGCTCTGGATCAAGGTACAGTACAGTCCTCTTCCTGTTTCTCACTCACGCACACTCCAATTCTCATCATTTCATTCCTTCCACAGCGAGACGACCTTTCCGGAATGCAACTGAGCGGAAACAAAGTGAGGAAATTGGAGTTCCTCATGGCCGATGCCGTTGCGCAAGGTGCCGACTCTGTCATTACGATCGGAGGCATTCAGAGCAACCATTGTCGCGCCACTGCCGTCGCCGCCAAGTACTTGAACCTCCACTGTTTTCTCATCCTCCGCACTTCTGACCTCCTTGTTCACCAAGATCCAGGACTCACCGGCAATCTTCTCGTTGAGCGTCTCGCTGGAGCTCACCTTCAGCTTATATCCAAACAAGAGTATGCAAAAATTGGAAGCGTGGTCAGTCTTTTACTTCCATAGCATAACCACTGGTGTCTGGTTTAGATGTCTAGGCCATATTTTGGAAGCAACACATCTTTTCAGTCACCTAAGCTCATTTTTTTTTTATTCTGAATAATATTTTATCTGTTCAACTTTTCCTTAGACGCTCACGAATGTCCTAAAAGAAAAGTTGATAAAGGAAGGGATGAAGCCATATGTTATACCCGTTGGTGGATCAAACTCTTTGGGAACATGGTCAGTCAGACTATACCATTTTCATTAGTATCATTCTTTTTATAACATTCTAGGGTATGAAATATATTACCTATTGTTTCAAATGTATTATAAAATGATTTATTTTTCTTGCTTTAGCTTTTGGATATTTGGTTTACGACTTGGTCACTCCTTCTACTTAAGCTAGTTTTTGCAGTTGAGTTAGGCCTAGCTCATTTTCAATTTTAATGCCTGTGTTTCCTTTCAAATTACAGGCTATGTTTATCAAAGGAACACATGCTCTGTTAGTAGGGATCACAACTAATGCTTTTTGCGTGTTTAATCTAAAATTTGACCGTGTTTACCATGTCTTCAATTTTATGGGACAAACCCAATTCTTCATCAATTTGTTTGGATTGAAGATACAAAAATGATGGGGAAAAAATGTCTCACTTTTCTGATTAGTAATACAGTAATAAAAACCTTTGAAGGAGGGTTATATTTTTCACTGAATGTATTACTGTTTATTGGCTACTTATTTTTTGCTGGTCATAGCTAAAAGTTATCTAAAGATTCTAATTATTATTCTTAAATCTTCAAGATATATAGCATGTTTGATTTGCTAAACTGAAGGACTAGACAATATGGAAATACTTGTTTTATGTTGATTTTAGTCATGGTACAGAAAAGCAAAGATGAAACATAGGGCAAAAATCTTAAAATTTGTCACTCAATGACTCGAGTGACTACTTTCTGTCTTACGCACAACACCATCTAAAAGTAAATACCCAGCCCTTTATTCCTCTCTTCAATTGTTCTCTCTGTTGAGCCTCCTCTCTCTCAATCCTCCTCCTCCTCCATCCTTTCCTTTCTTTCTCCTTTTTCCCTCGAAACCTTGTACACACTGTACATCAACCACCATTTGTCAGGACTAAAAATTGCGTTGTGATCCAACTATTTATAGTATGCTATTATGCTTGTGTGGTCCCTCATCGTGCTTCAAATGTGCCTTTGTAGTTAAGCTTTGTAGGTATGTTAGTCTTTTAACAGGGTCCAAATACTCTTTTTATCCAAAGATGGTTGTTATTTTAATATTTTTAGCTGTGAAGGTATTTGTTGTAAAATTGGTGAGGGGCCTCCATGGATGGAAATTTTGAACTGCATTGTTCCCAACTCATCATGGATGGATACTTTAATATTTATTTATTTTAAATTCTTGGTATGATTCAATCATTCCTTTCAGGGGTTATATAGAGGCAGTTCGAGAAATTGAGCAGCAGATCCAGAGGGGAACAGACAATGTCAAGTTTGATGATATTGTTGTGGCTTGTGGCAGGTTTTGGTTTACTTTGACTTCTTTATCTTTTCAATAGCGACCATATTCTTCCTCTTGATTGGATTGTATGAGTAACTGATTTTTATAACAGTTTTCTGGCTTCTTCTAGTATTTATGATGTAATCAAGTGCCAATAAAGATCTTCCTCTAGAGGCTTGGGTTTAATATAGTACTTAGTAAAACAAGATCTGGTGATGAAAATTATGCATGCCAATGCTATCAGCTCTTAATTTGCAACCAAACTTCCTACTGAATGTGAGCTTAATCAGTGTTATGGTTCATTTTTTAAATGGATACACTACCTTTAAAGAACACTATATAATAAATCATAGTTAATTATATTTTCATTTATTTAACATCGTATATTTATTAATTTTCAGTGGGGGCACAGTTGCTGGTTTGTCACTAGGATCATCATTGAGTACATTGAAAGCAAGGGTATGTCTTCCATTAAGAAGACTCAGATAATCCATCTTTTTGTGAGCCTCTTATATCATTTATGTACTCCCTGCAGGTACATGCATTCTCTGTTTGTGATGACCCGGATTACTTCCATAACTTCACTCAAGGTTTGCTTGATGGACTAAAAGCTGGTGTTAGCTCGAGAGATATTGTCGACATTCAAAATGTGAGTGTCTTTGTAGAGTTGAAGTGCTGGAACAGTTTTTTCCCTTGTTTATAAGATTTATAAAGGTTCTTCTGTGAAAATATGTTAAACATGCTATTTTTCTCGATCTTGCTGCTGTTGGTTTTCATGCTGTATTCAAATTGGATAACCCCTTAGCTAAAGGGGAAAAGAGTAGATACTAGTAATTATTGAGTAAATGGATGATAAACTCCCACAGACCTAACGAGCTTGTGTGACCAGTCATAAATCATAATACGAAGTCTTTACAAACACATACATCCGTGATCTGGAAACTTGCTTCATCATCTCAGTTAACAATGCTTTCAGTTGATAATGAGAATTTAATTGTTTACAGGCCAAGGGTCTTGGCTATGCAATGAATACATCCGAGGAGCTTAATTTTGTAAAAGAAGTTGCTGCGGCTACTGGTGTTGTTCTTGACCCAGTATACAGGTATTTACTTGTTCCATACATTGTATACTGTCAAAGTGCTCTATTTGGATATATTAAGAACAAAATTACTTCTTTATCTTCACTTTTTCACTTACAGAGGACCACTCTTTGTACATCATATTTTATATGCGTGTGTATATCTTGTAAAAATTTGTGTTGATGGTATCATTGGAACTAGTGAACCTTCTGGAAAAATCAATACTAAAAATTTTGATGCAATTATTTGATCGGCATCATAGGACTCATATAGTTTACATTCATCTTCGGTTTATGGTTAATCATCAATCTTCAAGAGTCA